CGGCCAGCTGCGAGACGCAGACGCAGAAATAACGCAACAAGAGCACAACAGCAGAACCATTGATGAACAAGTTGGAGGTCCGGGATGCATGCGCCGTTCGACAAGCAAAATATCACAACCATATACGTATTCAACATCAGGCAAAGGCAACATGGTATTGGTATGTCTGATCCATTGGTCGCGAGAAGGGGAAGTTGCCACCATCAGAAGACGAACATATACAAACGAAGTTCAGTGGGTGTAGAAACCTCGAAACCTTTCGCGATTTTGACGGGTCCACCATACAACCGAAAGCCTCTCGAGCAGGTCTACACCGTACCTCCCCCCCACCTCGAGGCCACGCTGTACGACACAAGCTTTCATCGGTGTAGAAACCCACCTATCTGTGTACGGTAAACCTCGTCCAGCCAGCCTCTGCAGCAAATCGCCGGCAAAGAACTTGGGCACCTGCTACCATCGTTACGACGTCGCCGGGGAGAAAAGCAGAGCCGGCATGACGGAACTGGCTAACACTCCTTCGTATGACGCTACGTGGAGTACACAAATACACACAGATGCACGCAACAACAGTTGATTCAACCGCTTGATTCAAACCAACAGTTGAGGTAAAATGTGAGGTACCGAACCACTTTTTCCTCTCGAGGCAGTTTCGACGGCCGAACACTGCCAAATTTCAGACCACATAACCGAGAAAAACGAACGACAGGTGCCTACCGCAAACCACACCCGAAATTTCCCAGCCAGGAGCGGACTTTCCAGACCCAGGTTCTGCGGGAGGGACCAATCGTGCAGATACAACGGGTCGCCCCCGCCCATCTCGATTTGACCGCATGCGGCAGCCTCTCCGATGCCTTGCCCAGCAGCGCCTTCTCGTCCGCTCGTGGTACCCGTCGCAGGTTGCGAAAGGAGTCGTTCGAGTGGCATATGGCCGGCATTCTCCAGCCTCGCCCAGCTGACTGAGTCGGGCACCCATCGCCGAACCGGCACTACCTGCGCCGCGATTCGTCCACCGGTGCCACTTAAAAGACTGCTGAGCTCACAGAGCAATGTATTCATTCCCAGCATATGATTCGGTTGCCAACGCGTGTGTTCCTGTGCTGCCGCTGACTTCGATTGTCTACAAACAAATATGTCAAAAGACGCCAAAAAAAAAATTAAACCTCCACAGCAGGCAAAAGCTGAAACTCCCCTTCGTTGAGCAAGACGGATCACGCACACACAACTGGCGGCCATACGGTACAGCAGCAGCCGGCACTCGCCAGTGAGTGAGTATTTCAGCCAGCCACCCCTCACTCAAGCCTTACATATGTGTTCGATATGACACTTTAGAGACCGCAGCTACCTTGTGCCCTGCTTCCACCCGCAAGGCTTCTCGACTCCAAGCGTTGCCCTCTTCAAAGCACAGGCTCGCACCACCTTTGAGAAGCACGGGGCGCCCTCGTAGCGCGTATGTCTCTATGAAGTCTTCGTAGCTCAGAGTCGACGCCATTCTACGTGCCATGATGTGAAGAATAGGCAAGCGCGGCATCAACGCGAGCAAAAACACGCAAAGGAGATGTCACCACAGAAGCGGGCACCCAGGGTCTGGAACGTGTTGTGGTAGCCCCCAGGCAATGTTGAAAATTTCCGTTGGATGAGCCCATGGGAAAAATGCGTCCCTCCCCGTGATGTTTATCCGAATATCGCGATGAATATTCGAAAGAAACCTCGGATGACTGCTGGCGATTGGAGTCTGGTTCATACTCCTGAGACAAGCTCCAGCGGTTGAAGTCGGTTTTCCACGATGACATGGGGCTGATACCAACACCAATCGCGCAGGGCGCGGGCTACTACCTCACCCACCAATGACAACAACAAATGCACGCCACAACCGGACGGCACCACAATGGAACAGTCCCTACAATGCCCTTTCCACAACAAAGCACTCCTGATTCGAATAGTCGCATCCTGCTTGCGATATCCAGCCACGCCTGTGCTCGACTTGCCGGATATCGGACTCAAGCGGGCAATTACCTTTCATCAATAGCCTGGAAATGCACACAGGCAGGACCACGCGGTAGCGGCACCCGCGGTAGCGGCGACCCCTCACTTCCGCCGAGGCCATCGTCTTCCGGCGATCCCCCCGGACGCTGTCTCTTCCGACCGCCGCTTGAGTTCAGTGTGATGCCACGGCCTACGTCCGCCGACGGGCCAAACCCTGCCGACTCGTGCATCGCCGGTGAGGAAGACGCCGTCGGCCGTGAATCGCGCGCTTCCAGCAAGGCACGTCGTCGCACTCGAAGAGAATCAACGGCTTTCGCTAGTCGCGACCGCTCACTCTTAGACCATCCATTATCGCTGTTGCCGCTTCTACGCCTGCCACGAGAAGAGCACCGTCGGAATCGAGGATGTATGTTGATATTCAGGTCAGGGTATTGGTAGGACGATCCCGAACATATCAAATGATTGACCTGGGGAAGGCCTCCCAGGTTTTCCACACTTTTTCCACACTCAAGTACGGTCAAGGATGCCCGCGCGAGCGCGGTACCTCAGTCATGCACGAATCTGTTCTCACCCCAGCATTCGCGCCAAGGCAACGTCCATTTCCGCCAGCGCCTCTTCGAGATAGTCATCGCCCATCTTCTCAAGATACAGCGCTGTGCCGGATGGATGAGCAGGGGGGGGAAGAGCGTCAGGCTACCCCATCCATCTCGCTCGGAAATGCTAGTCTCACTATTTGGGTGAACCAATGCAATAAGGAATCAGATGAAATGTGCAGGAGCAGCTACCTGTGTTTTGCCACATACAAAGGGAGCCCTGCGGAGACTTTGTGCGAGACACCAAACCACCATCAGTATTCTCGTATCCTTCCAACTGCTGGGAAACAGAGACAACAGCACGTGCATATTCCGGCACACCATCATGGGAGGGGAACTGAAGCCTACCGCACTGGGCATGCAACACGAGTGATCTGAGAGTGTGCAGACGGCAGATGTGCAACACTGGTCTTGGCGACAAGCTTTCGGAAAATGGTCGACCCAGTGACCTACTTCAGCAGCCGAACGCGGGCGCAAATTCGTAAGGGATAACTCATGCATCTTGGTTTCGAACCATGGGTCCCCACCGACACATCTCCTGCGGTGGTCCATGCTCTCACCAAGCATGAGCCGGCTCTGCGGATCATCATCGACCCTGAGCTGTTTCCGCAGGCTGCGTACCCTCCCCCGTATGAACGCCAATCCGTCCTGGGTTCTGCCACGCCCAGCATTGACACACAGACGGACGGACGGACAGACGAACAGACAGGCAGCCAGAGAGACATACAGCCAGGCAGATGGACGAAAAGCAGGCAGATAGACAGCAAGGCCGACATGATGGGGGGCACAACGAGTGTAGGGGTCCCATGCACACATGCGCACGTGTGATAAGTGTGACCATATGCATGTATTTTGTCAACACCTTTGAACTGAACGTGCAGACACACTCCGAGAATGAACAACGGAATAACTCTGTCGGCAAAAATAGGTCATCAAGCTCAGTAGGCCTATTCTTGGCTCGCAAATTGGTTTCGAATCACGCACAGCCAACGGGGAAAAGTCAGGTGCAGTGTAAGAGGAGAGCGTGACATGCCATGACCTGACCTGACCACACGCACCAACAGCAAGATGAAGGTGGACGAAGTACCTAACGTCTTGCGTATGGGTGGCTCACGACAGCACCGTGCCGCAATCTTCTGTGTCTTTCTCCGACTGATTGTCCTCTGCCTGCCGCTGTTAATGCACAGGCTCCCATGTGAGGCTTCTGCGGCCAAGATGTTCTTTCAGATTGGTGGTGCTGCTGAGTACAATGAAGTTGTGCTATACCGCTAGGTTTGAAGCAAGGAATTCTGTCAAACATCCTGTAAGCTACAACTTGCAACAAATTGCTTGGCACTACCGTTAGTGCGCAAACCTATGAGTTAGGCACTTGAGAACTTCATCCTCGACAAAAACATACGAACGTCAGCATTTTTCGTGAGGAATCTATAGAACCCTACATCGAAACCTATAGAGGGGTCATTTGTAACCTATGTGACCCCTAGCCTCGACCAGAACAAGAGGTTCCACTACTGTATACTATAATTGTAGGTGCTATGTGTCTGCTGTAGGCCAGTCAGCCACTGCGGTTCGAAGAGGGTTGAATTCTCGTGGACTTTCCATAACTGCCTTGCTGCTGATCAATTGCTTCAGTCCCCGTTCATTGCATAGTCTAGCGTGTATCCATATTTTTGTTCTCAGGTTTGCTTTGCGATAACGCCTTCACTTCATTCATTTCTCTGTTTACGTGCTTCAGATCAAAGGGACGTCATCACCCCTCCTGGAAATGCACCCGCCTCGCCCCATCGGCCACACGGTTGGGGAATTATGCCACAACCCAAACGACCCAGCGACATATCACTCCTGGGCAGTGGTACCAGTAGATTCATTGTTCACACAAAACTGTCGTTGGGGGGAGTCTGATATCCACCGTGGATAATCCACCTTCTTCACTCATTTCAAGGGATTGCTGGCCGCCTGTGGCTGCCGATGGAATCGGCGTACTACAAAAAGCACAGCTTTGCGGGCCTAGTGCCGCTTCAACGAAAAGCCATATCCGCGCAATACATTGCTGCTTCCATATGCCGCACAGCTGCACATTGTACTTGCACATGCCCAAACTCACTCACCGGGTTACGCTGAGCAAGAGAGTCCTAGGGTCGGTTGACACTGGCGTTCCACCGAAAGCACGATCATCGGCCTGGGACGCTAGACGTGTTATCCCAGCAGCCTTCTTCTCTCTCCTCCACCACCTAGCTATCTCGGGGAAGGTACCGCTCGACATCATAGCTTCCAAGCAAGATGAGTGAGATACAGGGAGACACCCATCATTGTACGCCTACGGGGAACGGTGGCAGAGAGACCCCCCCCATTACGTTTCCCGTCACCCCCCAACATCGAGAGGAGAGCGGGTGCCGAGGGTCGGGTTCTCCCACCACATCGAGACCGGAAAAAAAAATAAAACATCCCGTAGAGCTCTCCGTTATCCGTATGTTTTCGACAGCCGCCAGAACACTGCACGTCAGGCATTTGCGAGGCCCCGTCGCGAACAGAGCAGCAGCACTCGCCGGAGCCGCAGGAGCCGCGGCACTCTTTCACAACACCAGCACCAGCAGCTTCAGGTCGACGGCAGCGATGGCGGAGGCCACAGATTCTTCCAAGACGGCTTTCAGCCCCAAGGTCTGTGCGCGTGGTTGGCTCTGTGTCAGCAGATAGCCCTGGGTCTGAACAAGGGCGTATTTGCTGTGTGTGTCTCTTGCTCTTCCTTCAGCTACATACATGGTTCATGTGTCAGTAGATGGCAGCAATATTTGAGAAGGTGGAAAACGGTGCACAGGCAGCTGTAGTATTTGGAATCGCGGGACGAGAGGTGCGAAGACCATACCAGAGGACGTTGTGTGCAGTCAAACGATCTACCGCAGGCATACATGTCGACAAATGCCAGCCCCGACCTTTCTCTTGTAAGCGTCTCTGTGGAAGACGATCTGCACCTCTGGATACCGGCTCTCTCGTAACGAAGCTCTACTGGCTTTATTGTCGACGCCACGTTTCCTCATTCTGCGTATCCTAGGATGTTGCTTGTCCATTTGCATCAATATCAGCGGCATCTTGTAGATGAGACAAGAAGAATGCTTGTTGTAGCCACCCGCGGGTATTCGTTCCCTTCTCAGCCCGTGCCACGGTACTGGCACTCTACGGTAGCAGGAGCCTGCACGCCCTTTCCGCCGCCCGGCTATTTCCTGGGCAAACAAACGCCTAATTCCGTGCCCCTCGGGACGTCGCGGGCTATTTAGTTCCCTCCGCGGCACGTTGTTGATGGGCAATATGAACAATCCTCCCGCATACGCGTTCCTCACGCTGCTGGGGTACGGCAGAAGCTCTCGCTTCGGATCGTGCGATGATCCCACATGCCGTGCCGCATCAGGCTCTCGCGTGTTGAGAATAGGTCAAGCCATATGTTGCATGTCGACCATGCTATAGCCTGCTGGCCAATGAAAATGTGTCGAGGTGCGGGTGTGTCTGCTTCACGTACCTGACATCATGTCATACTTTCGGTAATGATGACGCGTTCGGGTAGGGCCGCAAGCCATGGCCACAATAGCACAGAAGTAATAACAAGGCTATTATATACTCCGGTTGTCGTCGTGTTTCCGGTAATGGTTAGGGCTGAACAGGCAGCTGCTGGATGTAGGGCAAACGAAAAAAATATCGATACAGAGAGGACGGCTTTTTTTTGAGGGGACACGATCCGAACATCCCCCCCCCGTAGAGGCATCAGCAAGCTGGAGAGGCAGCGGCAGCGGTATGGCTCTAGCCGGGTGTGCTCAAGGCCATCCGCGCTTGCGTGTCCTGTAGTGAATTTTTGGCGACCACGCAATGAACTACGTAGGCTAGCGTATCATGCGGCCGCAGAATGTGGAAGTCGTATCTGTGTGACCCAGGTCCAGAATATCTTGGCGTAACCGTGATTCCCCAAGTCATGTTGGCGAAGATCTGGATTTACCGCAACGCACGCATTCATCCCCGCCCTCATATGGGATGCGAGCATCGCTTGTTCGGGTCAGTGGAAATTCGTAAGGGTACCTGTAAATCATTCCAGCACGTCTCGGTGATGACTCAACTTCAGGATGATGGAAGCAATGCGCTGTTAACCTGCGGGCACCGTTTTTCAGTTTTGACGACAAACAGAAGTTTTTGCGGCGGAGAAAAATTGCTTCGTTCGTTGTGCCTCCTCGAGTACCTGCCACCGCCGAGCTCTGGTTTTCCCATGTATACCCCGCTGGACCTCACCAGTGACGGTTGATTTGGGCGGACATCAATTCAGAATTATAGCGCGTCCCCGATTGCTTTGGGTGATGGGCATTGATCTCCTCTCTTGACCGTGCGCGTCCTACGGTACCGCCGTGGCCCCCGCTGCCGCCTCATCTGCGGCGCCTTCATTTCACTTGCGCAGCAGCAGGAAGTCACTCCAAAACGCGTGTGTTGCTTCGTCGCTCACGGTGAACACCGCCCGTTGGGTGCGGTAGCGACGTGAAATGTGACTTGCTGACAAGATTCGAATTGTTCGCCTATCGTCCTGCTGACGATTTTTCGCCGTCACGATATCCTCCAATCCACGCAGTCAGCAATTTCGTCGTGTACGCGTAAGTTCGTGATCCACCAAGTGTGCCAGTTCTCTCCTTAGGTCGGATTGTCGAATTGTCGTTCCATGCCACTTGACGAACCGCCAAGAACCAATTTTCGCCGTTCTGATCGCCACGGCGACCCCCCCCCCCCCCCCCCCCCCCCCCCCCCCCCCCCCCCCCCCCCCCCCCCC